TTTAGCTATCATTCTTCTTATGTTAGCTTTTAGCTATCCTTATTTTAGCTTTCGGTTATCATTTTTCTTATTTTAGCTTTTAGCTATTATTCTTCATATTTTAGCTTTTAACTATCATTCTTATTTCAGCTTTTAGCTATCATTCTTCGTATTTTAGCCGTTAGCTATCATTCTTCCTATTCTAGCATTTAGTTATCGTTCTTATTTTAGCTTTCAGCTATAATTTTTCTTATTTTAGCTAGTCTTTTATTACTTTTACCTAACCTCTTGCTTCTTTAGCTTATCAATTGCTGTTTTCTACTTTTGGTTGTTAGCTAATCTGTTAACTAAAACCATCAAGATGTGAGAGTTTCAAGACTTTCTGCTGGTCACCAAACCCACATGCTGGTAACAGTCCTCCCCTAACTCCTTCTCCTGCTCCTCCCCTCAGGGTTGTGACCTCACAGAGCAGAGCACCATCCATGTGGTCCTCCCTCCTCCAGGCTCCGCCTCCTCTCAGCTCCTCCTCCTGCAGGAGCGGCTGTCCCGGAGCAGAGAGGAGGCGCAAGATAGGCTGACCAGGCTAGACCTAAGCTCCTCCAGGCTCCCCACCACCTCCTCAGGGCTTGCTGTCATCCTGGAGGGAACTGAAGGAGGAGGAGTAGGAGGAGGAGGAGGAGGAGGAGGAGGCAGCAATGAGGAAAGAGCTCAGATAGCAGAGCAGGAGATTACAATTCAAAAAGGTCAGTGCATCAAAATAATCTCTGTATCCATATGTGTAAAATCTGTATCGAGGTGTGTATAATTTGTATCCAGGTGTGTATAATTTGCATCCAGGTGTGTATAACCTGTATCCAGGTGTGTATAACCTGTATCCAGGTGTGTATAATTTGTATCCAGGTGTGTATAATCTGTATCCAGGTGTGTACAATGTGTGTCCAGGTGTGTGTAATCTGTGTTTTTATTTGTGTATTTTTTTCAGGAGTGAGTTTGTGCAGTACTTTCTTTGTATACTGTAAGCGCTGCACTTCCATCCAACCAGGGAAACTTCGTGTTCGCTGTCGAAGCTGCAGACAGGCGACACTGACACTCAGCAGGGTGAGAATATGTTGACAGGAAGTACTATTACTGTAGTACTTACTGTCCACTGTACATTTTGTCTACTTTCTGTGTTCATCCTTTATTCTTTCTGTGTACTACCTACATACTTCCTGTTCACTTTGTCTGCAGCACTTCAGTACTCTGTGTACTTGTGATTCAATTCAATTCAAATTCAAAACTACTTTATTGATCCCAGAGGTATTGGCAGTCCAACTGGATTGCAGTTCGGGTAGTCACTGAGCCAAAAACTGGGAGAGGTTCGGACAGGCCATGGAAAAAGACTTACGTACAGCTTTGAGGTGATTCTGGTCCACCATCCGGCAACTTAGAGGGGGAAAGCGATTCGCCACCAACACTAACATGGTGGGGATGGTGCGATGCTGACCTCAACTTGGGATCTTGTGGGTCGGTGGGCGGAATACTTCGAAGACCTCCTCAATCCTACCGACACGTCTTTGACACGAAGCAGAACCGGAGGACCCTGGGTCGGACTCTCCAATCTCTGGTGCTGAGGTCACTGAGGTGGTTAAAAAGCTCCTCAGTGACAAGGCGTCGGGGGGTGGATGAGATTCGCCCAGAGTTCCTTAAGGCTCTGGATGTTGTGGGGTTGTGTTTGTTGACACAGCTCTACAGTATCACGTGGACATCGGGGGCAGTTCCCCTGGATTGGCAGACTGGGGTGGTGGTCCCTAAAGTGGGACTGCAGAGTGTGCTCCAACTATAGCGGGATCACACTTCTAAGCCTCCCTGGTAAGGTCTATTCAGGGGTCCTGGAGAGGAGAGCCCGTCGGATAGTCAACCTGTAGGGCTTCTTCAGCTTCCTGTGACCACTTTCYCABWGTCCTTGTWGTTRCAGGTTGTCTCTGAACAAGTGGTTTATATTCTGAGCAGAGACAAACAAGGTTGTGATCTGAATTACCCAGAGGAGGGCTTGCATTGGCGATATATGAATCCTTAA